CAGGATCCTACATCTTTGGTAAGTCACTCAACCTCCTGAGCAGGGAGATTGCTGGGTACCAGAGAACAAATGTACCATGTGCCAAAAGAGGGTCAAAAAGAGGGAAAAATCTCCCACAATTTCACTAAAAGCAACATGGTCAAGCAAGGCCGTGACCCATCCTGGAGGCTGACACTGACAGAGGAACTGAGAGGCTCTATGCATGGTTTCAAAATAATGACTGAGGACACTTAACTGTCCTTAATAGATAGCAAGAGGTTCATATTGATTGACACAGGTCTAACTTTAACTTGGTCTTAAACACCCAGCAGAAAAGAATAACCAAAAGAGGGATAAAATAAAGCCATATTAATAAAGCCAGATATAAAAAGGGGCTCCAGTCACTGAACCCTTCTGGAAGTTTCTAGCTACACCAGTAGCTGACCACCATTATGGATCATTAGGACAAAACTATGGTAAAATCTATAAGAGCTCGGCTAGAGTTTGAAATTTCTTAAGCAAGATTTGTTCTTCAAATTGTCTCTTCTTCAAGTATCAGTCTTATAGATAACCTCTATCAATGAAAGAATCTAAGAGCCAGCAGGTTACAATCACTCACTACTCCAGTATCTAGGTGTGGCTTTCTCTCCAAACTGCCCTTCCATTCTAGTGTGTTCATGTTTAGATTTTTTCATGCTCTAATTTCTTAAAAGTTTTGCTTATTCTTGCCTAGAGGCTGCCAAACTCCAAGCAGTCATACAAATGGAACCAATGACAAATGTGCTAGACTTCTTTTACTGGGATTCATCAGATCAACCATGTAAACAGGTTATAACTGCTAAACTATACAATATGACTTCTATGTTGGATTCTGAAGTCCCTTGGACCTTCTCCTTATCCTCTTTCTAGGAGGCTATTACTAGTTCCTCCCAGTGTAAACCTTTGTTGACTATATTCATAGCAGTTCTGCTGACCTTATTATTCAGCCCATGTATTCTTAACTGTTCCTTTGGCTTTTGTCTCCTCCAGACTTAAAGCTATAAAGCTACTCAAGATGACAATGACTAGTGCCTATCCAGGACCTTTAGATAGATGAGCCTCTATAGAATAACTCTCACTGCTGATCACAACTATGACCCTCTTCAGCTGGAAGTAGCAGAACAGTCCTCACCCTTTGCCCCTCACAGCAGTTAAAAGGAAATATTCTTCAGAGGAGGGAATATTCCAGATAGGTAAGTTAATTGGATATCTTCTAGACAGTTAGACAGGGCCTGCCCAGGAGGAGCCAACATGGAGGACAGTCAAGGAGCCAACATGGAGGACAGTGAAGACACATTCACTGAAGGCCAAAATTCTAAAAGAAGAGAAACTACCACACCAATGTAGGATAAATAGCAGTGATGATATTCTAAATAGGTATCAATCACTTGGGTGGGGGGCCAAGGCCTTAACCCAGCCTCTCCAGGAAATATCCCTAACCCACCCTTACAGAAAGTACTTGTATGCTTGCTACATGACTTGCTCCCCCATTTGACCCCCATTTAATCAATATTACCTGGGTGACTGCACTTGTAATCTTATTGGTTGTTAATGGTTTTGTTTCACCTCAGAAGCTTTCTTTCTCCCAATAAATTTTTCCTACTCTTAA